ATTAAACCACGCTCCACAGCCCAACACAGATAAATGCACACACCATCCAAAAGTAAGTGGCACCACTCCTGGAGGCAATCATCATGACCAAACTCCTTTTCTCACTGCAATTCTCATTCTTAAATAATCTCTTTTAACATCAATCAGTCGAAGAGCTCCCGTTGGAACCATAGACACTTGCTACACCGCTTTCCATCTCTTAACTCAGAAATCAAAATAATCTCGAATTAAGGACATCATAACCGGGTACCTCGGTACACTATCATAAAATCTCATGATGTCTTACCCAAACCATAGATCTCATACCTACGACACCATACTTGGATAACGCATTGCTCTTTCAGAATCTCAAACCCATCTTCCTCTCGCACCATTCGAATCTCATAGTATTCCATCTCACAATTGAAAACACAGAGGCATCGTTAATGGCTCAGAACATGATGTCGAACATCCGAAACTCCCCTTCTACTAATCATTACTCACACGGAGCTACTCATATCGACCTTGAAATTGGTTGAAAAATCAGTCGTTGCGCTTCCGGGGGTATAGATTACAATCTATACCTTCACATGCAAATCTCGGCTATTACATCCTCAATCCAGTGACCCAATCTCACTCGAACTCGACATATGCTAACCGCAAAAAGAACAGGCCACAAAGAATCTCCCAATTCGCTCATCCTTTGTCAAACATATACCACATGAGTTATCTCGCTCTGCACCTAGCCTCAATCACCAATAACCCTGGACTCATGAAACCGCACTGTAGATCTCTATATCCGGATCTTTAACCATTTCCGAACAAATCTCTGATCCCCTCAATAAAATACCCGATTCTCCCCTATTAGGGTTCGAACCGTCACCAATTGGCACACCAACAATCTATCCCATATACCTTTTCCACTAGTAACATTGCATCTAGTGTTGGAAGGTGCTACGCAATGCTCGATGATCTCCCCGACAGAGATCAAGAAACTCTCAGTACTCCGAATTTCAGATGAAATCCTCAGAACTCCCCATTATGATTGCCTCTAGCTACTCAGAATCTCACACCATTCCATCACCAGACCTACCAACTGTCAAGTATCAACCCTGAATCTTGGTATGGAAATGACGAACTATCATTTTCCTCATACTCGACTCCTTAACTAATGCTGCATCATGTCACTTATGATAAGAGCAGAACCCACATTAGCGCTCTCGATACCCATATAGAGCAATACGAGACACCGGCTTGATAGACCTATCTTGATCGTCCGACCCTGCAGCTAACACATGCCCTACTATACTCAAATAGGGTGTATCCTGGTCCTTGACCATCTCAGTCCCCACTGACGACCTGATCAAGCTATATCTTTGCCTTACGACAGACCTACTGCCATATACTCCGATTGAAGATCACCACCAGTGCAATCCCACAGGGCTCACCTGCAAACTCAGAAACCGAAATCTCAACACCTCTTACATCTCCCATAGGAAACGGAATTAGCACCGCTTTGGTCACGGAAAGTGACACCCCCACCATCGGACGGTCACCCAGCCCAGACATAATTCTTCCATAACGCACCATCCTTACTTGTCCTTGAGTCTTGCGACTCCAACTGATTCCTCATGGCCCTCAGGCCCCATACTGTTACATATCTGTTCTCAGCACATATAATCACCACGAAATAATCGATGAAACCAGAAGCACTAACCACCACATGTCGTGGTACTCAAACCAGGACATCACCTCTCGATATACTACTTATCATGGTACTCGAACCATCACCTCTCGATCTACTACTTATCATGGTACCCGAACCATGACATCACCTCTCGATCTGCTACTTAGATCCTCCGGAATAATCCCTGTATCGAGTATGGGTCCTCTACTTTCAGTAGTACGGGCCCATACTACCTGCCACATCTACCCATACTCTCTACACGGACCATCCCAAATTCCCTAAGTAGCTTCTCAACCTCCTCAATCACCAATCCTAACACATGAGCTCGCTCCCCAGCGAAATTCTCTACTCAGACAGCGTAGTCATCTAACTAAGGTCACTTCCAAGGTTCTAACATTTCTCCCCCATCAGATGCTGAGAAACTCCTTATGATGCCAATCATCCACCTCCTGAATATCATCACATTCACTTGGTAGCTGACTCCGATCATCAGAAATTCCACAAAGCACGAAGCAAGCAACATTCGGGCATCGAATAAACACATAAAACCCACTCTAGGTGATAACTTCACTTGCTCTACTCATACTCAAAAGATATCACTAAACTCTAAAACTCTACCCCTCGTAGGTATATGACTATTCTCTTGATAGGCTCCACAAATGCTCATCTAGGTATCTCTCCTAGAAAACCCCTCTACTCAAATCCATCTCTAAAGGATTCCTGCTGGATACTCTCACTCAGCGCCTACTCGAAATCGCATCATAGATAACAACACTTCTAGGCTAAGGCATCATAAATCAGGCCACTCTAGTCCTAAATATGAATACCTAGTTTACTCTAGCATGCATAATATCTCAGAATATCTCATAACACATAACGTAAGGGTATTTTGGCAAATGAACACTCGGGCTCTGGCTGATTGTACACACCGCTCTTTTTCGTTTTCCCTTAGAAACTCTCGTTCGCTTTAGAGAAATCATTTCTTTCAAAAATTTTCTCAAATACCCAGTTTGAGTGCAGATTTACCCGAAGGTGCATCTGAATCTCTCAAACCAAGGCTCTGATACCAACTTGTAACACCGTAAATTTTCAAACAAAATTCTCATTTAAAGATCGCATACTTTTCATTGCATATTATATAAAAATCTTTTTTATTTAATTTAAAAACACAACTCCATTAATAATCCAGGATCCTCGTAACTCTTTCTCTGGTGTGTAAAATCAAGCCGGTGCCATCCTGCGATCCTGAGAAACCTGAAACACATAACACATACACGGTAAGCACAAGGCTTAGTGAGATCCCAAAAATACCACATACAGCGCGTAAGCCACTCGAGGCTATAACTTGGTATGACCCTTTGATGAATGTGTCTCAATGGGACCCTCCAGTCCCGTAGCTCGTTGGACCCTCTGGTCCGGTCTAGCTCGTTGGACTCTCCGGTCCGCTCTGGATCGTTGGACCCTCTATTCCGGTCTGATCGAGGACCCTATGGCCTCATGAGTCGTTGGACCCTCTGGTCCGGTCTATATAACACATAGCTTAGATATAACACAATACACATAAATCTCAAACATACACATACACATAAGACCCTCCAGTCGGCACATAGATACCACTCTAGGTAATATATAGTGAGAAGACTCACCAGACAAGCAACAAGTAAAGACCTTGCTCCCGAATCTCGAAGTAGCCTTCGCCTAATCACAAGGGATGAATATTTCTAAGTTATACTCTAATCACCACTCTAAAGACCAAAGGCTATTCTTCCTCTCTTCAAGTCTTTGAAGTGGATAAGTGACCATTTAGCCCTCCATGGCCTCTACTACTCATGTTGACCAAAGCCCCAAAGTCAACATAAGTTAAACTCGAGTCAACAGTCCATGTTTGACCCGACTCGCCGAGTGCACCCTTGCGACTTATCGAGTCCACTTATTTTCCTCATAAGCCTGGTGGCAGTCCAGCTCAGATCGTTGAGTTGACCCCCAACTCGTCGAGCTATCGCATGATTCAGTTCTTTGGGATAAACCCTAACCAACTCGTCGAGTCGGCTCATTGACTTGGCGAGTTCATTCAGACCAAATGTTTATTTAGATGATTTCAATCAGATCTATCACTCCAAATAATAGATCTATCACCCTAAGGCTTAATAATCATGTAAAGCTTCGATCTTTATGTTCATACTCGATGTTATTGCTCCAAAATGCTAATATATGCCTTTCATGAAGGATTTAGCTCATCAACCCTCATTTAAACAACTAAAGTTGGGACACCTAGACTCTAAGGACCTTAGGTGGTGCAGATCTGAGGTTTCCAACCTCAACCATGTCTCATTCAACTCATAGGTTCAAAAGGATGGAAGCAAAGCCCTAAACTCCCAAAATGAGATTTGGTACAAGGAATGGGCAAGATGAGGATTTTGTACCTTATTCTAGCTGCTAAAACACTCAATACCACAAACAACAATATTTAAGCATCAAATTTTCACCAAAATCTTTGTCAAATAAATTAAAAATCACAAATTATTTCCTCAACCGAATAAAAACACGTCATTCATATAAAAAGCTAATGATCCTCACAGGTGAGCTATGTTGGCTTAGTGTATACATTAGGGTCATACATTGTTAAGATCCCGCAAGCTTAGAGTGAGTAATTCCACCTTATTTCATGATTCTTGTTTTATTGTGGATTTAGAGCAGGTTTAGTCAGTCAAATATCTTCTCGATCTTAATTACACATGACCTCTATACACCAAGAGATTATAGAGGGACCTTGTAGGGATTACATTATAAAATATTCACAGTAATAATAATAAGGATAAAACTGGAAGCATCAAGGATATATACATAGGATATGTTATCGTTCTAAGCAATCATCTCCCTTCTAAGTCGACTTAACATCTGTTACCATAAAAGTCCAATGTCGTCACTTGATACAGATTGGTTTGATCCTCACCTTACCAATTTCAAGCACTACAAATAGACCTTTCGTGTTACCCAATCGATTAACAAAACTCTTTTAACCTATAACAAAAAAATCCCCAGCACCCAGACACACGGGTACTTATGTAATAGATACCATGCGCCTTCCCAACCCCACAATAAAGATTGGAAACAAGAAACCAAAGGTATCAAGGGATCACCAGAGGTTTACAACACTACTAGAAAAATAGCCTTTTACGACGCGCAAACAATGACATGCACTAATTTACGATACGCTAAAGTGTGCGTGCTAAAAATAATGTCATCTCTCACAAAATTTAAAGGATCAAGGACGCGCATTTTTGCGTGCCCCTAAAATTAGTGTCTTAACAAAAAAAAATTAAAAACACAGAGGATGCTTATCTTAAGCGTGTGTCCTCTACAGATGTTGTTTTATAATTTTACTCAAACGCGCGTCTCTTATAACAAAATCATAGGGACCGATATTGATATTAATTCTAGGGCTTTTTTAAGATTCAAAGCACTCACTCACTCAGCGCTCTCTACAATCGATCCGGAGACCTCGCCTCGCTTCCGGCAACCCCTTGCTCACTTCTCCTCATCGACGGTCTCATCATCACCCGACCTCAAATTCCTTTGTTTCCATCTTTTGCAGAAAACCCAAATACACGCTCCCCCCGTTTTTGATGCTCAGAAACGAAAAAGGGCAAGCGCCTTGGTATTTTAGAAGATGTATTTTGGGGAAATAGGGCATTTTGGTTCTACGTGTTCTTATAACCCTGGGAATCAAGAACCCTATATTCTCACACCGGATTCATAGTTGAAGTCTACCAGAAAGAAAAGTGTACGGATGAGCCTAATGGGTCGGGGAATAGCAGAGGAAGAGCTAGTCCTTCTTCATAGAAGACTATGTGATCTCAATTTCATCTTCTCCCTGTTCTCCGATTCTCCCGACAACAACTACAGGTTCGGTTCATTGTTATTCGAAAATTCTATACATCTTCCAATTATGTCTACGTGAATATCATAATCTCTTTTTTTCCTCATCCTCCATTGTGACGTATTTAATCTTTGAACAAATTTCAGCAAGTTGAAATTTATCGTATCAAATTTGGTAACTGAGGGTGTAACAATTTGATACTGCTTCAGGATCCTCGAGGATGCGGAAAAATTGCGGTATAATACCCAATTTCTGTGATAATTACTTGGATTTTTTTATAGTATTTACTGTGATTTTATTGTGTCATTGATTATGGAATTAGGTGTTGGATCTTGTTCTAGAGGATTTGCTGAAAGAATATCCTGAAATGATCTCAGAGGCATATATGTATATATATATATATATATATATATATATATATATATATATATATATATATATATATATGTTTTTATCTATTTAAATATTTTGTTTTCGTCTATTATTTTTTTAATCTATATCTGTTGTGATATCAGGCACAATGGCTGACCGGAAAGAGCATCTCCTCCCACCAAAAGCTACATCAGCTATAAATGTTAGTGATGGATCATAACAGCTGATGAAGTTTTGCTATTGAATTCTCTTGATATCTATATGTGGTGGAATTACAAAGACGATTGAAAGCTAAAGGGGTTGGTGTGGTGTGGCAATCTGAAATGGGCAAAGTTGAATAGAAAAATGGGAAATTCAAATAGATCCTTAGGGTACCGGTGCATGGTTTGTAGGGTTTTTAAGACTACCTTCCATTAAAGAGAGATTAAAAAGATGTGATCTCCTTGAAAGGGGTGTTCTTTCTTCTTCAAAGGTATTATTTTGGTCTGTTTATATATGCCCATTTACATGTTCATACAGATTCCGTCTTTTCAACTTTCATCAATAGATTATGCATATACAGTATAGAGGTCTTTCACTCTCTTCTTGTAGTTATAGATTCCTAATTTCTAAAACAAAGGAAGTTAGTTCATCATTTTATCTGCAAGAAGTACATAAGAATAATCCATAGAACAACATGGCAGAGCTTATTTCTCGATCACCTTCATCAGGTTGTCCATACTACAAGAGATCTAGAGAGAGAGAGATCTGGAGAGAGAGAGAGTGTGTGTGTGTGTGAGAGAGAATTAATGAAAAGAAAACTATCTGCAGTGTGCAATTTCTTGTGTTGTTTATTACAAGTTTAAGAGATATAAAGTTGATTCATTTGCAATAAAATGTTCTGTTCGTGGTTGGAAAACAAAAGAAATTGCAAACTTTGATTCGTTCTTTGCATTCACTCTTTGTTGCTTTGTAGTTACACTTGAAATTTTTTTTTCTTTCCTACGAGTGAGTAGTTCAGGAAGATATTCAAGACCCTGTATTCTCTCCTACAGGTACCGTTACCTTGAAATTTTTTTCTATAATCTTTTTGAGGTATTATTTTTATAATAAGGGTCTAGATTGTTAGCACTTGGTACTTCAAAAATACATCAAGGATCTTGATATTTTAAGATTGGTAAAATTTGATACTCATATCAACAATTTGTTTACTTGCAGACTGCTGGAAAGGCAGGTGTATACACTTACAATATACATTTCTGGTTGGGAAAAGATGCTAATCAGGTATTTCATTCTACGTTTTTTTTGTAAATTTCTTGTGTGTATATCTGTAACAAATAGTCAAAGTCATGATGTAAATTAGGATGAAGCTGGAGTAGCAGCTGTAAAAGTTGTTGAGCTTGATTCAGTTCTTGGCAATCGTGCAGTAGAGTATCGAGAACTTCAAGGTCATGAATCTAATAGGTTTTTGTCATACTTTAAACCATGTTTAATTCCACTTGAGGGAGGTTTTGGATTTGAAGTCAAAACACCCGAAGAAGAAGAAGAAAAAGAAGAAGAAGAAGAAGAAGAAGAAGAAGAAGAAGAAGAAGAAGAAGAAGAAGGAGAAGAAAAAGAAGAAAAAGAAAAGCCTGAACCACGGTTGTACACATGTAAAGGAAAACGAGTTTTCAGATTGAAACAGGTGCATATATAATTCAAACATATTTTAGATCAATTGTTTATTCATCTTTTGAAACATCTTTCTGCTCTTTATTCAGGTCCCTTTTGCGCGCTCCACCCTGAATCATGATGAAATGTTCATATTGGACACTAAAGATAAAATATTTATGTTCAATGGGGCCAACACGGATGTTCAAGAAAGGTTCAAAGCATTAGATGTTGTTCAAAATATGAAGGAAAGATATCATGAGGGAAACTGCAATGTTGCAATTGTTGGTAGGGCACTTGTTAGCCAAGTTCTATCCCTTCCTTGTTCATTACCTTTTTTTTCAATATTTATGATTGGATGATCTATCAATTGACTGAATGTATACATTCAATTATCCATCCATCATCATTCTTATTAACTTATTATTATTATATTCTGTTTTTCATTCTCTTAAATATGTTGCGGATGAGGGAAAGCCACAATCAGAGGGGCCATCAGCTGAATTTTGGGCCCTCTTTGGTGGATTTGCTCCTATAGGCGGCAAGAAAGTATCAAGTGATGATGATATAATTCCTAAAAAAACTCCCCCTAAACTTTACTAGTATAATTCCATTCTTTCAGTTGTAATGTTTAATCGTAACATGTAACAAGTACTAGTTACTCTTTTGGTCAATTAGGGTACATTAAATTAATCTATAAGTCTTGAAACTGTTCCAACTATTTTGAATGCAGCATTGTTAGAGGTCAATTTCAGGAAATAGAAGGCGAACTTTCAAAATCATCATTACATAATGACAGATGTTATCTTTTATACTGTGGCACCGATTTATTCGTTTGGGTTGGTCGAACAACACTATTGCCAGATAAAAAATCTGTCATGCATGCTGCTGAGGTTCCTCCCTCTTATACCTTGTACTATCTTTTATCTTTTATGTTGTGTATCTGTTATTGATTCTCCCCATATAATATAACCACCATCTGTAGGAGTTTATTCTCAAAGAAAATCTGCCAAAGTCAACTCCTGTAACCCGTATTGGTCAAGGTCATGAGACAAGTTCATTTAAATCCAACTTTGCTTCTTGGTTAGTAGCTTCAGCAGCTTCTGCTCCTGAGGAAACTAGAGGAAAAGTAGCAGGTAGATTCATTCTATATCTTATATATATTTTTCTTACATGGGACATGGGTGTTTGAGTTTTCTAGGGCTATTTTTGACTTTTTCTAAAACTTACCCTAAGTTCTACTCTTGTTCTAATGACTAGCTCTGCTGAAGCAACAAGGTGCTTTTGCCAAAGGTCAGACAAAAATGGCTCCTGTAGAGGAGGAAGTTCCACCTTTGCTTGGAGAAAATGGAAAAGTTGAGGTTTTAGATCATAAACTTGTTGCTACATTTAGATTTAATGTAGAAAGATAAAATAATTGTGGGCTCTTTAGGTATGGCGTATTGATGGTGAAGAAAAGACGGAATTACCCAAGGAGGATATTGGAAAATTTTACAGTGGAGATTGGTATATTTGTCTTTACTCCTACCATTCTGATGAAAAGAAAGAAGATCACTACCTGTGCTGTTGGATTGGGAAGGTTAGCATCCAGGTAAACTAAAACCATATTATTTCTTTTCTTTTTTTTTTTAAGAAAAAAAAATCTTTAATTGTGTATTTGGGATGAAGACTTGTTATGTTGTCTGATCACAGGAGGACCAAAAAACAGCTGTTCAACAAACTACTTCAATGTTCAACTCTATGAAATGCAAACCTGTTCAGGTACCATAAATATAATAGCTTTTTTTACTTGTTGCACTGCTGATTATATATAAATTTAGTTTTGAAATATTAGTATCTTATCGTAGGGTCGAATGCATCAAGGAAAAGAAGCACCACAATTTCTTGCTATCTTTTAGCCTATGGTTGTTCTCAAGGTACTCTCTTCCACTTGTAGTAGTTGTAAAAGATATAGCTCTAGAAGAAGGCTGTTAACAATGGTAAATATTTGGTTTTACTTTTACTAGGGTGGATTGAGCTCTGGTTATAAAAACTACATTGCAGAGAAAGGACTGCATAATGAGACCTACAGTCCAGATACTACTGCACTGATTGAAATATCAGGAACTTCAGTTCATAATAATAAAGCTCAACTCTTTTTTCTTATATCTTTAGTCTGGAGTACCTGTAAAATTCTCTAGAGAAGGAAAAGAGAGCTTAGCTTTCTGGCTTGCACTTGGTGGAAAACAAAGCTACTCAAGTAGCAAAGTAACACAGGAAATCATCCGTGGACCTCACTTGTTTGAAGTAATAAGCAATAAAGGTTTCAAAACCATAAACCATCATCTATCTTTCACATGTCCATTTTTGCTGATTATATCCACCAACTGTTTTTATCATCTTATTTTCCTCTATAGGAAAGTTAGAGATTGAAGAAGTTCACAGCTTTGAACAAGATGAATTGTTTCCAGAGGATGTCTTGATATTAGATACACATGCTGAGGTCATCGTTTGGGTTGGTCATTTAGCACAGTCAACGGAAAAACAAAACGCTTTTGAAACTGGCGAGGTACATATAATAATAATAATAATTATACAAATGCAAAATTATACGTTGTATTGGTTGGTATGTTTTTTTAATAAGTTGATTTCAGAAATATGTAGAGCTGGCTGCATCTATGGATTCCTAGTCCACATCTGTCATATTATACAGAGTAACAGAGGGAAACGAACCTTGCTTCTTCACAACATATTTCTCATGGGATCCTGCAAAAACTACTGTATGTATACATATGTATTAATAATTAATAATTAATTTGTATCTCAGTTTTCTCTTTCTCAATGGAACCAGGCTCACGGAAATGCATTCCACAAGAAGGCTGTGCAACTCTTCGGCTCAGGCTGTGCAGCAGAGGTATTTCTTATATAAAAAGTTTTTTTTTTGGATTAATTTTTTTTAAGTGGCCCCTATCATATTATTTTATTACAACAGAGCCAAGATGTTAAGCCCCCAGGAAATAAACTTAGGGGGGCCACCCAAAGAGCATCAGCCATGGTAGCTTTAACCTCTGCTTTTTCAAAATCAACTACTACTCCTAACACTCCTCAACATGGACCACCTCCAAGAATGCTAGCTCGTGGGTTCCAGAGAGCGGCAACAATATCCGCCTTATACTTTATATACTCTTGAACCATGTAATTTACTTTTTACCCTCAGTAGCAACATAGTTGTTGTTTCTTTAAACTTGATTTTGAATGTGTGTTTTTGTCATCAGTGATCCTCACTGGTTCTCCAGATTGTTGTATTCTTGCAATTGATATTAAAACAAGATCTCCAATTAGTTATGGATGGATGTTCATACAATTAGGTATTATTTTCAATATTCATACAGTTAGTTATGGATGGATGTTCCAGGTATTATTTTCAATATTCATACAATTAGGGATGTTCATACTTGAGGTATTGTATCACTTTTAATGAAGTTTGAAATGCATATAGTAAAAGATTAGGTCGATTTACCTTTTTTTTTTTTTAGGAAATCAAGGAAAATGACACCACCATATAGAGTGATGCTACACAATGACAACTACAACAAGTGGGAATATGTTGTGCAAGTGTTGATGAAGGTTATACCTGGAATGACAGTTGACAATGCAGTTAATATCATGCTCTTGACCTGGACACCACTCTAAATTGTAACTTACTCTAAATTTTATATGTAAATTTTATTTTATCTTTTGAAGGGAAATTTACTGAATATTGATTGGTTGATGCAGTTAACTAGAATTGGTCGAGATGCAGTTTTATATGTTGAGTCGCTCATTGAGTCAATCATGGGAGGATTGGAAGGGCTAATCAACATTCTTGATTCTGAAGGAGGTTTCGGCTCTTTGGAGACACATGTTCTTACTATTTTATCAATTTCCTTAAAAAGTTACCAAATCCATGTATTAAATTTGATAAAGCTAACTTAATTGCTTTTTTTTTTAAATCCTAGCTTCTACCAGAAGTCAGCTGAAACTACAAATGGCTTTTGATGGGCAGGAAAGATATATGAAGGTATGATCTATATTGTAATTCAGATTCTATAACTTTTATTATGTAATCTCTTAAGTCTTAATACCCATTATTCCTTATGCATGTAGAGATCTTGGGAGCCAAGTGATAAAGCTGATCTTCACTTTGTCTACAAAGATGTTGAAGGAGTATCAACTCAATGGGATGATATTCAAAGAAAACTCAGGAACTTACCTCCCAAACCCTCTGCCTTCAAACTCGATCCCTTCACTCCTGTAGAAGACGAAGATTCCAAACCTAAAACCAAATCTCGGATCGATAACAAGACAGAAGAACTCAAAGATTTAGAAGATGATCTTGATGATAGTTGTTTCCTTGAAGAATACAAGTACCTTCAACTCCCTTAATCCTAATATCATTTTATGAGGGTATTAAATTTCATGTGATATTCTCATGGTTTCATTTTCTTTTATGTTCTTGAAGCAGAAAGAGGTTAGCAGAGATGAAGCAAACAATGGAAGTTTGAACTCGGAAAGTTCGGGCAACTATGGTGGCCCGGGCAGCATCTATTTCAATATTGATTGTGTGAAAGTCATCTACTAAAGCAAGGACGGTGTAAGAGTTAATGATGAGAACATTGTTCCAAGACCTTCAGTGAGTTATGATGATGTCCCTTAATAGCAATGTAGTATTAGGTTATATAGTTACCGATGATTATTTGTATTTGACATTTTATGCAATGAATTATCTTACTTATTTATTGTATTTTATTTTGTATCTTGTATGACATTAATTTTTGTGCAATGGATTGTATTTTTTGTATATGGTGTTTTATTTCTATTATGAGAAATTAAATGCAAATTTAATTTAAAAATTAATAAATATATAAATTTATTTTTTAAACATATAAATTTACGATATGCAAAAATGTGTGTCATCTTCATTTATGACATGGCCTTTCTTGACAGCGGCTTTCTTGATACGCATTGCGTGTCATTAACACGCGCGTCGTAAGGTTACGACATGCGAACGCATGTCATCTTCCTTTATGGCAGGGCCTTCCTTGATACGCATTGCGTGTCGTAAACGTGCATCGTAATTGCGCGTCGTAAATGAGCGTCGTAAAAGCGCGTCGTCTATAGATGACTTGCAAAAGCGCGTCGTCTCTCTTTATGACAGGGCCTTCCTTGACGCGCATTTGCGCGTCGTCTGAGCCTTTTACGACGCGCAATGAGCGTCGTAAAAGGCTGTTTTTCTAGTAGTGCAACCTCCCCCAAATATTCCGGAAGCTTTTTCAGAAACATCACCCATGTACTAAGTCGAGTTTGGAATCGACTCGACTCTTGGAACCATTCCAGTAAGCAAATCCCTGATACGACTTAGCACCAACACAAGAACAAATATTGTCCAATCAATAGAACGATCTAATAAGTAAGGAAATTATCAAACGAAGAGTCTAACCTCGGGGAACACTCGTCTCACTCATAAGGAGGAAAATTGGATTATCCATAGGACCATTGATTACTAAGAATCAAGCAAACCCATCATCACAGATCGATAACCCCTATTCCGAATCAATGACCTACTCCGCCAGCCCTAAGAAATAAGTGAAAGTCGACATCCCACAAGTCTAGAATTCCAAACTCCTAGGGCAGCCTAGGACTCATAAGTCCAGCTACACCACACGAAACCTTAACCTTAGTGATAATAGTGTTCATCTTAAGGTTTAGAGGAATTTCCTAAGGGCATCTAGTATACCAACATCATTAAGCACTTCTTGATCCTCGCCAGGATAGGTCTGACAATCTATAGCCTTCAGTTACCATAAAAACTTAGCATCTTACATCCCACATCCCATGTATTCAACCCTAATAAGTGTCTGACCACCGAAGCTCTCGTAGTCCCACTCGACGAGATCATAGGCATGAAAATCAAAAGAGAAAGATCAAACATAAATAGCAAAAATACGCTATAACGCCAAGCAAGGATCTAACTTCACTTAAGAATGAGAAGATCAAAAGAATCAAAGTACACACATCATTCCTCAACCCTTAATATTCCACTGAGAATTTGAATTTCGGGATGAAATTCCCTCTAACGGGGTGATGATGTGACAACCCGAAATAAATGGATCAAGCAAGGTCTAAATTGTAACCTTATTATAATGAAAACCTTGAAGACTGAAAGGGCATAGGTGCTTGTACATGGAAGTATACAATTAGGAAGTCACATATAAGGTAACCTCTCGAAAGTAAACATGTTTATCAAAGAAAACTAGACAAATGAATTATAATAAGAATCTTAGATCAAACGATTGTCTAGTGGTATTAAGCTTAGTCTCCCCACCAACCTAGAACATGAAAGGCAATAAGAATAATGACTTAAGCCAACCTATATGGATATAAATATATGTACCAAGTTCTGTGGAACCATGATTGAATGCACCCTTGGCTAGTTAACAAGAAAACACACACTAGACACCTTGTATGGATTTTTTAGCCCAATATCCCACTAAGGCCATCACCTTTGAGTGTATACTAGCTGAAAACATGAACACACCCATGGAAAATCACCCAATATCGGGAACACCTCCCATTGGGCCACCCTTGGCCATAAACCCTCTTCATTGGACCATAAATGGTCGTAAATACCCCTTAGTGGACCTTACTTGACCATGAACACCTTTAAGGAATCAACATTGGGCGTAAACTCCTTATGGAGGCAAGCTTTGGGCATAAACTCCATGGTGGACCACCTAGTGGCGTAAACACTTTAAAGAACCAATATTTGGGCGTAAACACCTTCCTAGGGAGCATCCTTGGTGTAAACACATTTCTAGTAAGGAATCTTTGGCGTAAACACCATCCTAGGAAGCATGTGGGGGCGTAAACAAATGTGTTCACACACGTTTACATATTGAAATAGAGAAAAGCAAGCATTTGACTTTAAGATGTGATGTCCTTGCCATTTTACCATGGATTCACAGATCTCTACATATTACCCATCAATAATCCAAGCAAACGTCAAATCACCCTCTATACCTATATAATGAACGTAAACCCTTCCTTATCACTCCTATTCTTCCTTCTTGAATGAACACTACTCCTCATTTATCATATTCACCTTCTGTGAACTCCTAAATTTCTCTCAAATGTATTCAAGCTCCAAGTCTTACTTCTTCAAAGTATCCCCTAGATTCTTGTAAGTATCTTATATGTGGATAGTGATTCCCCATATGATTTTATTTATTTCATCATATTTACACATAAATTTATGTGTTAATATTCTTAGGATATTCTAAGGTTCAAAGAGTTTATCAAACTCTTCAAGTGTTAGAACTTGGAAACTTCTCAAAATATCTTCAAATCATACACCAAACCAAACCAAGGTGAGCTTCATAACCCCACATTTTTAGTTGACACTTTTCAAAACAACTTGTATTCTCAAAGATCTAGTAGATAGGTATTCACCACGTTCGAGGCCCGGCGTCGCTGCATTTTGAAGGGTTTTGAGCATTCTAACATTCCTATCATGTACATGCAACCCTAGAAACCTTGGATCTATGTTTTCTCTAAAATACATGCAAATAATAATTCTCCAACATTTACATCCTAACTAGCATGTTATGGGGTACTTGAATCTTAAAACACTAGTAGAATTATATAACTTTTAGTAGTGGTTGACTGCTTGGAGTTTTAGAGCCTAGCACTAATAATGTGGATGCCTCAAATGGAAGTCACAAACCACCAAAAACTTTGGAAACTTGAGAGAATAGTAACACTTCAGTGAGTCTTGTCAGGGTTCCCCTGATATCTGATGACCATGCTTAACGCAAAGGCCAGATCAGGATGAGTACAAGTCATAGCATACATGATCGAGCAACAACAGAAGCATATGGTAATCGAAACATCTCAGTTATCTCATCCTCTATACTCGGGCTATGAGCCTTACTCAGTTTGGTATTATTCTGGATTAGTAAATCACCTTTCTTGAAATTTTGCATGTTAAATATTTCAACGCTTTGTCAACATAAGTGCTTTGACTAAGTCCAATTAGTCTTTTACTCCTTTGTCTTAATATTCTTATTCCTAGGATATAGGTAGCTTCTTCAAGGTCCTACTTAGGGAAACACTTCCAAAGCCAAGGCTTAACCTCCTGCAAAGTTCGGACTACACTATACTCTCACTAGCTATGACATACACACAGGACTCATCTTCGCTTCTAGAAAAACCAAACTCTTTGACTTTCTTATAAAAAAAAGGTTCCAGCTGTGAGATGCTTGTTTCAATCCATAAATGGATTTCTTAAGCTTGAACACTCTATTAGGGTACTCTGCACTGACAAAACTCCCTGGCTGACTCATGTAAACATCCTCAGCCAACTTTCCATTAAGGAAAGTGGTTTTGACATCCATTTGCCATATTTCTTAATCATTAAATGTAGAAATGGCTAGCATAACCCTAATAGACTTAATTCGTGCCACTGGTGAGAAGGTTTCATCATAATCAACTCCTTGAGTTTGAGTGAAGCCCTTCGCAACCAGTCGCGCCTTATAAGTGTGCACTTTCTCATTTGCACCCGACTGTCTTACGACCCGGTACATTGTCAACCAAGCTCCAAACTTGATTGTCATACATGGACTGAGTCTCGCTGTCCATAGCCTATTTCCATTTAGCTTACTTAGGGCCTGCCATGGCTTCCCTATAGCTGTTAGGTTCATCCAAATTTACCATAATAATGCTCAGGTGGATTCCTAACTCTAGTGGAATGCCTAAGAGGTACAGACTCATTAGTTTGTTCAACAGGAGTTTCCTCCTCGGGTTAATTGCTAGGATTTGAGGTTCCTTCACAACTTGACTCTTGAATTTCTTCAAAGTCAATTTGCCTCCCACTATTTCCTTGTCTTATGAACTCTCTCTTGCGAAAGACCCCTCTTTTTGCCACAAAGACCACATTATCATTGGGTCTACAGAAGGGGTAACCAAAGGAATTATGTTGGTAGCCGATGAAAATACACCTTTCATTTCGAGGTTTGAGCTTATCATGAGTATCGCGCCTCAAGAAAGCCTCACAAACCCAAATCTTGATGTGGTCCAAATTGGAAACTATCCCAGTCCACATCATGAGGTGTTTTGGCAACCTTCTTTGTAGGGACTATATTGAGGATATGGGCAGCAGTCTCTAAGGCATACCCCTAAAATGCGTTTAGTAACGAAGCTTGACTCATCATGGAGGGAACCATGTCCAACAAGGTTCGATTATGTCTCTCAGCCACATCATTAAGCTGTGGTGTTTTAGGAGATTTCAATTATGAGAGAATCCCACATTCCTTACGATAGTCAAGGAACTCGGTACTAAGATACTCACTTCCTCGATCGGACCGGAGCATCTTAATGTTCCTGCCCAA